CTCGAACCTCCTCATGTCTCCATGGACCTGCAACAGCAAGTCGTCAATGGCTTTCTGTCCAAGGCCGCTGGATTTGCAGAACAAGTAGGTCTTGGCCACCTGGTTGATGTCCAATCCAGCATGGGTCACGGCCTCCTCATAGTTCAGCTGCCATTGAACGCTCCACTCCGGCAAGGTCAAGCGTCCTCTGCGGAACTCGAAGAAAGTCTCCAGGGCCTTCGTTGCCAAGAGCTGTTCCGCCTCGCCGAACGCTGCTCGGAGTGCTGAAAGTAGAGCTTGGGCACCTGATGGTATTGGATGTTGAATCACCTCTCCAGTTGCTGGGTCTTCTACTCGGTCGACAGGAAGTCGGATCAAGGCCGCGTCACCGATGTCCATGCCACCATGTGGAGTAGGTAACCTCAGGTTCATTGCAATGGCTTGTGCACGGCCACGCAACCTGCCAGCTAAGAGAGGTCCTACCGATTCATCTGGTCCATCCCATAGTCTGTACCAAACTTTGACTCTTTCGAGGTATGTTTTCAGCGGATAGCTGGCTGCCATCGATGGATCCCAACCTGGAGGAATTTCACGACGATATTCCTCTAACGGCACTCCGCCGGTGTTGGTTCCTGAACTGGTAGTCGCCATCGTCAGTGATGTAGTTCGGCCACAGCCAACTCCACAAAGAGCTCGTTGAGGTTCGCCAAGCCAAAGCGCTCGGAGATCACCTGGTAGTAGTGCAAGAAGTCCACACCAGATCCACAAGCCCGTGCGCTCGATGATCGCCTGGCAGAAGACGAGGAAGACCACAAAGATCTCGCCCAGCTGTAGTGCTCGAGGATTCACCTGGCAGTAGACGAAGATGGCCACAAAGATCTCGCCCAAACGTAGAGCTCGAGGATCCACCTGGCTGTAGTCACCGATGTCGTGTGTCCCGGAAGACCTGGAAGTCGTGGTGCTCGTAGTGCTCGTGGTGCCTGATCGTGTCGTAGGTCTCGAGGACCAAGAACAGTGCAAGATGGCGTCAGCAAAGGAGTCCCGAAGAAAACACGTGGGGGACAAATGGAGCAACAAGGCTCCGCTGCCAGATTGGAAAAGCAGCCGTTTTCACTTGAGATGTCAAAGGTGCACCTGTCACTGAAACCTGTATGAAATGCTATGTATGCACATGCCCAAGATTTGAGTCCTCCAATTGTATCACAGCAGCCCATTGTTTTGTACATCAATCATCCTTTTCATTCTTTTCCCCACTTTGTCCAAGGTTGGTCTCACACCAAGCGCGGTACGACACAATAAAGATCGCGCTGGGCGTGGCCACAAACCGGGACGATGCTGAGCACCACAAAGACCAGCTGAGAGTTGAGAGCTGACATGAGCTGACAATTTTCAGATTGGGCAACGTCTTGAAAACCCCGAGACCGCATGCGACCGCACTGTAATGGGTTGGGCCAGGGTGGGCCCGTGGCTTCACAAATCCGGGCCCAACAAATGGTGTGCAGTCGTACAGCTTGTGTTGCGCAGCAAACTGTAAACATCATGACAATTCACTAAGGTTCATGGTTCATAAACTCTATATCCGCGTACATCAAGAAAAAATCAAGACATGGTAAGGAGATGTATATAAGTAGAGTGAATTTGACTTTTGGGAGGCAAATTCTCGGTACTTTGCCAAGCTGGCAACAGCTTTTTTACGTGGGTACTTCCTCCAAGCACCAGGTTGCCCCATTGCCCCACATAGCACCTGCGTCTGCTTGTTCTCTCCTTGGAGCTGCTGCTTGGCATGTTCCAGCTCTGACAAAGTCTTGCGCGACTCGTTAGCTAGCTCACTGCATTGAGCTTCAGCCTACAGTGAGAGGAGGCCCGGACTGTGTGCAATGTGCGGACCCCTTGAACGACATAAATCATACTCACCCCTTTGTCTACAAGACTTTGATTGGGTGATTTCCGGAGAAAGCTCAATCATGCTTTGACCTTGACATGCTGCCATCCTGTCGACACACACACACACTTGCTCAGAAACATCTTTGCGAATTCTGATGTGGAATGCATCTTACGTGCAAAAACACTCCAATTAAACCTGACAGGAGCCATTGAATGATCAGAAGTGAGAAACCTCAGGTTGAAGTTTGGTTGGCACTTGACAGTGCAGTTAAACAGCAACAGAAAACACAGTATGACGTGTCCCCCAGCTGCGACTTGAATGCGCCCAGGAGCGACACTGCAGGTACAGAAGTTTGCGTCCAAACTTCCATCCAGTTGATTTCCATAGCTTCGTTGGCGTGACTAGGAAATCAACCGTCACGCCCCCTGCAATTGAAAAGAGATTGGATAAACGCCTGGTAAAATACTCAAAACTGGTTCATTGTAATGGCAAAGAACCTGATAAGAAAAAGCAATTCCGTCAATCAAGGTAGAAGTTTTACATCTCTTCAGATGTTCCACACACACGCCCCGCTGCCGCGAGGCTTTTTAAGGCCCCGACGAATGAGATGAAGGTGAAGATGAAGGAAAGATGAAAATGAGATGACGATGAAAATGAGATGACAATTACTTAACCGGAACACAAGAGGGGGAACGCAAAAAGGAAAAGGAAAAAGAGAGAACACCAACACCAACACACCTGGCCCAAAAGGGCAAACCCTGAAAGGGCAAGGAAAAAGAAAAAGCGGACGGACGACGGGCCAAAAAACCAACCAGAGGAGGGGGGGGCGGACAGAAGCGCCTGACACAACCTACAAGGCGAGAGCCAAAGCCTACCTAGGAATGCGAAGGACCCAAACCTGACCTAGAGAGGAAAGCGCGCATAAGATAGGGGACCAATGGGGAACTAGTTGATGAAATAAGATGCATCCACATTACGTGCATTTTTCGTGATAAGGCTCAAAGGCCCTCGGCTTTCATTTCACAATCCTGTAAACGGCTCACGTCGTCAACCCCTGAATTACGTGCACAATTGAAACTCACCAACGACCATAAAAAGAAAGAAAGACCACACCTAAAGCATGTCCTATTGCCTGATTTTTCATGAAAGAAAAGGTGAAGCCAGGCACAGCGGCACGTTGTTCACCCAAACGACATTCGACAGGGTGAAAACCGAAAAATGGCCAGCTGTTTCACGATACTTAGACTCTTAGACGAATTACTAATTCAAAAGTGTCAATTCAGAGGTCGTTTCAACGTGTCAATTTTTAGCCTGGAAAGGCTTTCCCCGAGGGTTTCATGCCACCTTGACGAATCCAGCATGAATCACACACTTGCTCAGAAACATCTTTGCGAATTCTGATGTGGAATGCATCTTACGTGCAAAAACACTCCAATTAAACCTGACAGGAGCCATTGAATGATCAGAAGTGAGAAACCTCAGGTTGAAGTTTGGTTGGCACTTGACAGTGCAGTTAAACAACAACAGAAAACACAGTATGACGTGTCCCCCAGCTGCGACTTGAATGCGCCCAGGAGCGACACTGCAGGTACAGAAGTTTGCGTCCAAACTTCCATCCAGTTGATTTCCATAGCTTCGTTGGCGTGACTAGGAAATCAACCGTCACGCCCCCTGCAATTGAAAAGGAAATTGGGTAAACGCCTGGTAAAATACTCAAAACTGGTTCATTGCAATGGCAAAGAACCTGATAAGAAAAAGCAATTCCGTCAATCAAGGTAGAAGCTTTACATCTCTTCAGATGTTCCACACACACGCCCCGCTGCCGCGAGGCTTTTAAGGCCCCGACGAATGAGATGAAGGTGAAGATGAAGGAAAGATGAAAATGAGATGACGATGAAAATGAGATGACAATTACTTAACCGGAACACAAGAGGGGGAACGCAAAAAGGAAAAGGAAAAAGAGAGAACACCAACACCAACACACCTGGCCCAAAAGGGCAAACCCTGAAAGGGCAAGGAAAAAGAAAAAGCGGATGGACGACGGGCCAAAAAACCAACCAGAGGACAGAAGCGCCTGACACAACCTGCAAGGCGAGAGCCAAAGCCTACCTAGGAACGCGAAGGACCCAAACCTGACCTAGAGAGGAAAGCGCGCATGAGATAGGGGACCAATGGGGAACTAGTTGATGAAATAAGATGCATCCACATTACGTGCACTTTTCGTGATAAGGCTCAAAGGCCGTCGGCTTTCATTTCACAACCCTGTAAACGGCTTACGTCGTCAACCCCTGAATTACGTGCACAATTGAACCTCACCAACGACCATAAAAAGAAAGAAAGACCACACCTAAAGCATGTCCTATTGCCTGATTTTTCATGAAAGAAAAGGTGAAGCCAGGCACAGCGGCACGTTGTTCAACCAAACGACATTTGACAGGGTGAAAACCGAAAAATGGCCAGCTGTTCACTTTACTTAAACGAATTACTAATTCAAAAGTGTAAATTCAGACAAAAAAGAAAGGGTGAAGCCAGGCACAGCGGCATGCTGTTCAACCAAACGACAGCCGACAGGGGGGTTCATGCCACCTTGACGAATCCAGCATGAATCACACACTTGCTCAGAAACATCTTTGCGAATTCTGATGTGGAATGCATCTTACGTGCAAAAACACTCCAATTAAACCTGACAGGAGCCATTGAATGATCAGAAGTGAGAAACCTCAGGTTGAAGTTTGGCTGGCACTTGACAGTGCAGTTAAACAACAACAGAAAACACAGTATGACATGTCCACCAGCTGCGACTTGAATGCGCCCAGGAGCAACACTGCAGGTACAGAAGTTTGCGTCCAAACTTCCATCCAGTTGATTTCCATAGCTTCGTTGGCGTGACTAGGAAATCAACCGTCACGCCCCCTGCAATTGAAAAGGAAATTGGATAAACGCCTGGTAAAATACTCAAAACTGGTTCATTATAATGGCAAAGAACCTGATAAGAAAAAGCAATTCCGTCAATACATCTCTTCAGATGTTCCACACACACACACACACCCACGCACGCACGCACGCACGCACACACACACACACACCCGTGAAGAAAAGCTGCGGTACCACCGCGATTCACATGTTTTGCCCAGGCCTTCTCTGCCCGAGCTGTTTCTCGCTCTAGCTGCGCATTCAGCTTTGCATTTTTCTGCTGAAGCTCCTCGCTGGTTTCCTCCATCTTGCGGCACTCAGCAGTCATCGCCTCAGCACAAGCTGGCAGCTAGCAAACGTAACTAACTAGATCAAACTAGGATGACAGGATGCCGGAGTCTTGAGTATCCGTGATTTGCCAAATTTGCCCAACATGGTTCGGTCCATTTCTCCGGACTCTGCTTGTGATTAAGAACGCATCAAAGGCACAGCCCCAAACATCTTTGTTGGACATTTTAAACAATGTTTCTATGTGCTTGTCGGCACTGCTAGTGAATGCTCATGAATGTCATGATTCATGAATGCTGATGGTAACTGTTGCCCTGTATTAGTCAAGCGTCTATCATGCGCTCTTCGACCGACTGCACTCTTTTCGACATCTCATTGCTCTCAAGAACGAGATGCTCTTTATCAGCCTCTGCAAGTATGAACCGGTGCCATGCACCAGGCCTGTCTTTCTCTGAAAATAAGGCAGAACTTATTGAGACAGCTTTGAGACCTGAGGAAATTTCCTGAAACCATTGAACACATTTGAACACAAGCAGAGCCATAGCTGTAGGTAGAACGCGCCTCTAAGTTTCGAGTCTCTGTTTGCAGACGTTGCTTTTCCAGCCGAAGCTGTTCTAACTCCTGAACAGCAGCAAACTGCATCAGTCTTTGGCTAAGATTCATTTCAACACCGGCCTCTTTGTCTTCAAGAGTGTTGGCATTTGGTCGGCTTCCAAGCGCCAAGTGTAAAGTTCCGTTCGCTCAAAGAAATCACGTAATCATCGCAATATGATGTAATATGAACAGACTATATTGGAATCATATGGACTATGGCCGCCCATAGCGCACTATAGCCAGGAGTGTCTTTGAACAATGGAATCTGAAACTGTTTCCAGAAAAACATGGGAAGCACAAACCAAGTCATCGGTACACTGAAGCAGAACGCACTGTCCATCATTGAATCAAACACCGGCCTAAAGCGTTTCAGTTTGGAAAATGAAAACTTTCATTACCAAAGGCATCCAAAGGCCCTAAGGCGCTGATCTCCCATACAAAATCATACAAATGTACAACCACCAAAAAAACAGAGGTCAAGTTGGGATTTGGGCACTTCCCACCTATCTGAAAAAACCTATCTGATGGATTTCGAGGACATGTTTGACAGCAATAGCTGACAGGGCCCACCCCGCAGCCTTCTCTGCCCGAGCTGTTTCTCGCTCTAGCTGCGCATTCAGCTTTTCATTTTTCTGCTGAAGCTCCTCGCTGGTTTCCTCCATCTTGCGGCACTCAGCAGTCATCGCCTCAGCACAAGCTGGCAGCTAGCAAACGTAACTAACTAGATCAAACTAGGATGACAGGATGCCGGAGTCTTGAGTATCCGTGATTTGCCCAATTTGCACAACATGGTTCGGTCCATTTCTCCGGACTCTGCTTGTGATTAAGAATGCATCAAAGGCACAGCCCCAAACATCTCTGTTGGACATTTTTAAACAATGTTTCTATGTGCTTGTCGGCACTGCTAGTGAATGTTCATGAATGTCATGATTCATGAATGCTGGTGGTAACTGTTGCCCTGTATTAGTCAGTCAAGCGTCTATCATGCGCTCTTCGACCGACTGCACTCTTTTCGACATCTCATTGCTCTCAAGAACGAGATGCTCTTTATCAGCCTCTGCAAGTATGAACCGGTGCCATGCACCAGGCCTGTCTTTCCCTGAAAATAAGGCAGAACTTATTGAGACAGCTTTGAGACCTGAGGAAATTTCCTGAAACCATTGAACACAAGCAGGGCCATAGCTGTAGGTAGAACGCGCCTCTAAGTTTCGAGTCTCTGTTTGCAGACGTTGCTTTTCCAGCCGAAGCTGTTCTAACTCCTGAACAGCAGCAAACTGCATCAGTCTTTGGCCAAGACTCATTTCAACACCGGCCTCTTTGTCTTCAAGAGTGTTGGCATTTGGTCGGCTTCCAAGCGCCAAGTGTAAAGTTCCGTTCGCTCAAAGAAATTACGTAATCATCGCAATATGATGTAATATGAACAGACTATATTGGAATCATATGGACTATGGCTGCCCATAGCGCACTATAGCCAGGAGTGTCTTTGAACAATGGAATCTGAAACTGTTTCCAGAAAAACATGGGAAGCACAAACCAAGTCATCGGTACACTGAAGCAGAACGCACTGTCCATCATTGAACCAAACACCGGCCTAAAGCTTTTCAGTTTGGAAAATGAAGACTTTCATTACCAAAGGCATCCAAAGGCCCTAAGGCGCTGATCTCCCATACAAAATCATACAAATGTACAACCACCAAAATTACTTTACTTCGAGTGATCCCCACCATGACATTTATACGTTTTAATATTGGCATATCTTCCACCACAAGCACTGCTTCTGCCAAGTGTGGCGACATATTTCCCAGCTCCACAGGAACATCCGTGCAAGCCATCACAAAGTCTCTGTCTAAGTCTATTCAGGAATGCTCTGAAGGTCACATATCTGTTTCGAGTATTATGTTCAAGAGTGGCAGCAAAATAGGGCCAAAGAAGCGGTAGCAATGCTGGCACAATCGCAGCAGCCCTTGAAAAGCTTTTGCGTCATTGCCACTTTGTCATGACTCTCTTCTGGCATTAAATCTGGCATTCTCTCTCGCATATCTTCTAACATTCTATCTGGCATGGCTTTTTGCATTCTATCTGGCATACCTTCTGGCATTCTATCTGGCATATCTTCTGGCATATTATCTGGCATACCTTTTTGCATTCTATCTTGCATATCTCATGGCATTTTATCTGGCATATCTTCTCGCATTCTGTCTGGCATATCTTCTGGCATATGTTCTGGCATATCTTCTGGCATCCTATCTGGCATTCTATCTGGCATATCTTCTGGCATATTATCTGGCAAATCTGCTGGGATTCTATCTGACATTTTATCTGGCATTCTATCTGGCATATCTTCTGGCATTCTATCTGGCATACCTTCTGGCATTCTATCTGGCATATATCATGGCATTTTATCTGGCATATCTTCTGGCATTCTATCTGGCATATCTTCTGACATTCTATCTGGCATATCTTCTGACATTCTATCTGGCATATCTTCTGACATTCTTTCTGGCATATCTTCTGACATTCTATCTGACATATCTTCTGGCATTCTATCTGGCATTCTATCTGGCATATCTTCTGGCATATATTCTGACATATCTTCTGGCATTCTATCTGGCATTCTATCAGGCATATCTTCTGGCATATCTTCTGGCATTCTATCTGACATCTTTTCTGACATTCTTCCCGTTGAGGTCCGGCAGTGCCCACTGCGATCTGGAGGTCGCGGTTGAGGTCCGGCAGTGCCCACTGCGATCTGGAAGTCGCGGTTGAGGTCCGGCAGTGCCCACTGCGACCTGGAAGTCGCGGTTGAGGTCCGGCAGTGCCCACTGGGATCTGCAACTCGCGGTTGAGGTCCGGCAGTGCCCACTGGGATCTGGAGCTCGCGGTGGAGGTCCGGCTGTGACCACTGGGATCTGGACTGCGGGGAGGAGGCGGCGGGTGAGGAGGCCGAGGAGGAGGAGAACAGCTCTGATAAAATCTAACAACCCTCACCTGGCAGGTGGGGAAAACAGAGGTCAAGTTGGGATTTGGGCACTTGGGCACTTCCCACCTATCTGAAAAAACCTATCTGATGGATTTCGAGGACATGTTTGACAGCAATAGCTGACAGGGCCCACCCCGCAGCCTTCTCTGCCCGAGCTGTTTCTCGCTCTAGCTGCGCATTCAGCTTTTCATTTTTCTGCTGAAGCTCCTCGCTGGTTTCCTCCATCTTGCGGCACTCAACAGTCATCGCCTCAGCACAAGCTGGCAGCTAGCAAACGTAACTAACTAGATCAAACTAGGATGACAGGATGCCGGAGTCTTGAGTATCCGTGATTTGCCCAATTTGCCCAACATGGTTCGGTCCATTTCTCCGGACTCTGCTTGTGATTAAGAATGCATCAAAGGCACAGCCCCAAACATCTCTGTTGGACATTTTTAAACAATGTTTCTATGTGCTTGTGGGCACTGCTAGTGAATGCTCATGAATGTCATGATTCATGAATGCTGATGGTAACTGTTGCCCTGAATTAGTCAAGCGTCTATCATGCGCTCTTTGACCGACTGCACTCTTTTCGACATCTCATTGTTCTCAAGAACGAGATGCTCTTTATCAGCCTCTGCAAGTATGAACCGGTGCCATGCACCAGGCCTGTCTTTCTCTGAAAATAAGGCAGAACTTATTGAGACAGCTTTGAGACCTGAGGAAATTTCCTGAAACCATTGAACACATTTGAACACAAGCAGAGCCATAGCTGTAGGTAGAACGCGCCTCTAAGTTTCGAGTCTCTGTTTGCAGACGTTGCTTTTCCAGCCGAAGCTGTTCTAACTCCTGAACAGCAGCAAACTGCATCAGTCTTTGGCTAAGATTCATTTCAACACCGGCCTCTTTGTCTTCAAGAGTGTTGGCATTTGGTCGGCTTCCAAGCGCCAAGTGTAAAGTTCCGTTCGCTCAAAGAAATCACGTAATCATCGCAATATGATGTAATATGAACAGACTATATTGGAATCATATGGACTATGGCCGCCCATAGCGCACTATAGCCAGGAGTGTCTTTGAACAATGGAATCTGAAACTGTTTCCAGAAAACATGGGAAGCACAAACCAAGTCATCGGTACACTGAAGCAGAACGCACTGTCCATCATTGAATCAAACACCGGCCTAAAGCTTTTCAGTTTGGAAAATGAAGACTTTCATTACCAAAGGCATCCAAATCCAAAGGCCCTAAGGTGCTGATCTCCCATACAAAATCACACAAATGTACAACCACCAAAAAAACAGAGGTCAAGATGGGATTTGGGCACTTCCCACCTATCTGAAAAAACCTATCTGATGGATTTCGAGGACATGTTTGACAGCAATAGCTGACAGGGCCCACCCCGCAGCCTTCTCTGCCCGAGCTGTTTCTCGCTCTAGCTGCGCATTCAGCTTTTCATTTTTCTGCTGAAGCTCCTCGCTGGTTTCCTCCATCTTGCGGCACTCAGCAGTCATCGCCTCAGCACAAGCTGGCAGCTAGCAAACGTAACTAACTAGATCAAACTAGGATGACAGGATGCCGGAGTCTTGAGTATCCGTGATTTGCCCAATTTGCCCAGCATGGTTCGGTCCATTTCTCCGGACTCTGCTTGTGATTAAGAATGCATCAAAGGCACAGCCCCAAACATCTCTGTTGGACATTTTAAAACGATGTTTCTATGTGCCTGTCGGCACTGCTAGTGAATGTTCATGAATGTCATGATTCATGAATGCTGATGGTAACTGTTGCCCTGTATTAGTCAAGCGTCTATCATGCGCTCTTCGACCGTCTGCACTCTTTTCGACATCTCATTGTTCTCAAGAACGAGATGCTCTTTATCAGCCTCTGCAAGTATGAACCGGTGCCATGCACCAGGCCTGTCTTTCTCTGAAAATAAGGCAGAACTTATTGAGACAACTTTGAGACCTGAGGAAATTTCCTGAAACCATTGAACACAAGGAGGGCCATAGCTGTAGGTAGAACGCGCCTCTAAGTTTTGAGTCTCTGTTTGCAGACGTTGCTTTTCCAGCCGAAGCTGTTCTAACTCCTGAACAGCAGCAAACTGCATCAGTCTTTGGCTAAGATTCATTTCAACACCGGCCTCTTTGTCTTCAAGAGTGTTGGCATTTGGTCGGCTTCCAAGCGCCAAGTGTAAAGTTCCGTTCGCTCAAAGAAATCACGTAATCATCGCAATATGATGTAATATGAACAGACTATATTGGAATCATATGGACTATGGCCGCCCATAGCGCACTATAGCCAGGAGTGTCTTTGAACAATGGAATCTGAAACTGTTTCCAGAAAAACATGGGAAGCACAAACCAAGTTATCGGTACAAACGCAACCACTAAATTACAATCATAGCAGCACAGAGAAACTATTCAAAACCAGGCTCCGTACTCTTCTCGTATGTAATCTTCCCTTATGTGGCTTTGAGATTGTTAGCTGAGGGTGTCATCACCAAACTCTTTTCTGTTGAAGAATATCATGTACAATCATGTAATCATGAATATGTAATATGTTTACTATATATAATATAACTGTAAAATACTGTATATACATATATCTACACATTCTATAGAACTATAACTATACACATATTTGTATACAAACGCTTCAAATCTATTTAAACATGCTTGTTTGCGACACTTATCTATGTGCATACACATACGATGACATTTAGTTCTAATATGTACTTTATTCATCTTTCTTCCATTTTATTCCAAACCTTCGAAAACTATCTAGTTCGCTACTTTCTCACTTCTTTGAGATGTTTTAAGCTTTTGAGAGGGTCATTTTCTCTACTTGCTCATCTATTTTCCATAATTCTGCTCACAAACATCCAAACATGCACAGACTGTGTCGGAATCCTGCAGCCTCTCCAAGTTGGTGATTGCCTGGCAGCGATGGACAGGTCGGACAAAGCATCCAAGCCCCTCTGGCCAAAATGGACCAAAGAGATCCAAAGAGGCCAATGGATACCGAAGGAATTGCTTTCCCAAGTCTGCGCAACTTTCGTTCAACGGGCTTGAGTCAGGTGAGTGCCAAAACCAGCACACCATAGCAGTCCCTAGCAAATATGCTGAATATAGATAGACTTGATGCGCTTAAAATCGTTGCAACATGTTTCAACATACGCTATACTGCCTGCTTGAGTCCCTAGTCTTCGCCGCCTCCGTTCCATTCTCAGTTTTGACCTTGGTGCTGGCCTCCTGGGACAGTTGGGTAGATATCTGTTGGCAGTTGGGTGGCTGAATAAACTCCATTGGAAAAGGACACCAGTTGGAGTTTCAGCTCATGATTCACCATTCTTTTTTGTTTTTTTCTCCATATTCTATGAATTTGTTGCCCGAGCTTACAAAGTTGCCACCCCAATGTATTGTTCGTCTATTCTTGGTCTAGGATTGGGAAACCAAATCGTGGGCGTCATCCTACTTCTATGGGGTGCCTGTGAATCCGGCGAACGGCTGTGGCATCGTCCTCTTCAAATGACTGCTCCATATGCTGTCCCATGCCTGCACCGAGTCATTTGACCATCAAACGAACGATTGCTTCGATTGCTTGACTCCACGCACTTTGCTTGATACGTATATGTCGCGTGTTTCTTCTCCAGTATACCTCTGTGTGTATTTAGATCCTTACATTCCAAAAAGTAAATTTAAATAGAGCAGTTTCGCTCCTTCTGCATCTTCTGCTACACTGTGCATGGTCTGAAGAGTTTGCAAACCGCTCGTCAAGGAGACACCTGCAGGCTTGCACTCCTTAGCTCCAAAATGCTCCCAGGTCCAACTCTGGGATGTGATCGGTGCCGGTCAGCTTCTCTGCATCTACAGGTACGCCTTTTATGGGCCTTGTGTTCCTAGTCAAGGCAAAGAATCTTGGACACAACAGAGTGATCTGTGACCCAGGTGCTACCATTGCCTATTGAGGCCTCTCTCTGGTTTGATTTCATGCAAGAGCCGTCGGGAGTCACTAGATTCCATTACTTTCAGGGGATCAAGTTGCCTTACCTCCAATTGGAGACCGCAAACTGTACAAGTCCACGATTTTGCTGATTCATGCTGAAGCACTGTTAATGTATGTATCTTAATGGCTGTCCATGTACGTTGATGTCATTGTCTC